CTCAGAGTTAACAATGCAAGATATTACATGGAAAATGATTGAATCAGCACAAATAAAAATAATAAAAGTGGCCTTTCGTCTTTGATATAGAAAAGATAGTAAGCTTATTAGTGAATATGCTGGTTATGTAAAAAATTTGTGTAATGCAGAAAATCAAGATGAGTATATAAAATATACCGCAATAACACTTTTTCCAAATGATGAAGCGTATAATAAAAGAATGACAAGATATAGAAAATGGTTTCAAAGTAAAAAAGAACTACTTATCTGTATAGAAGATTTATATAATCTTTATTATAAACTATCCAAAAAAGATCGACCTATGACTGAAACAGAAATTGAGGAAGCCGTTGATGATGTGCTTATAGACGACTAATTTAATACTGTTTAAGGATCCATTTAGGTGGAAACTCAACTTTACCAACTTTCATCAATTGGGCTTAGAGGAATTTCAAATATTAATATAATTACTAAGATACTTCATTCTTAATTTTTTTACTTTATTACATGATTATTATGCACACAAATACAAATTTTTTAATATATGCTATATTGTGTGTTAAAAAAAATACTATAATAAAGTTAATTGCCGAATTATGTCAAAATATTTTTCTTAAATGCATTGCAAAGATAACGGAGAGCAACACTTACGGCAAAAGTTTATCAAAATAGTAAGAAAAATCCACATGTTCTAATTATTATCCTGATTTTCTAAGACCTCCTGTTGGATATCAAACAAATCTATAATAAAATTAGGAATAGCAACTCCAGCGGGAACTACGGGGGCATATCTAGCTGTATTCGGAACTCCCCCGACGATCGGAGGGTTCCAGAATACTTCACGTACTGGAATGGTTATCCGGTAATTAGGAAGATTTGGTGCAATACAAGTGGTAGCTCGACCATCGTGATAGTTGATGGTTCCAAAATTCCACTATAATGTGCTCAAAAATACATTAGCTTAAGATTATGACATTTAATTATCAATGGGATAATCTTACCTCTTCTGTAAATACACCCGGTTGCCCTGGTACTGCTACTTGCCTTGGTAATCGTGCTGGTGGACGTGACCAGAGGATAGCCTAGTATTAGAAACATTTAGAAAACTTTGAAAATATTGAATAACAAATAAGCTGTAACACATACAATCATACACCGGTCAAATTGCCCATGAACATTTCGTGTGACCTGTTTTCTATAAATTTTGATTCCCAATACGCATCTTACATACTCCTGGAGCATCCAACGATTACACTTTGCCTTCAAGTCATCATAACTTTGTGACACAGCGATTTCGCACATTATACGTGCATGAGGTCTTCCCTATATAATCATTTTATAGTAAGATTAAATAAGATTAGAAAAATAAATCCAATACACACAGAACCTACCGCTCTATCAACAGCAGGAATTTCAAGATGTCGGTGAAGTCTGGGACGGACTGTACGACCCAATCTACGTCGTGGAGGTGGGAGTGGAGGTGGAAGTGGTCTTGGAATAATGTTTAAATTTGGACGTATGGCGAGATCGGGTGACGATGGATTCCCTCCTCCGTGTGGACGATAGTGGGCTGTTATAGGATACAAGAAGTTTACAAACTGATAACAACCAAAGATTAAGCAATCCAAAGGATTTTCTTACCTGAATTAACCCCAACTTTTATCGGAGCATTACGAATAATACCTCCATTAGGAATTTTAAAGTAATCTATAAGCAGATCAACAACTGATGTATGTTCTGGTCCTTCCATCTCGACTATAAATACGTTTCCCTTTGAATCGATGTCAAATTTATATCCAGGTGTTTCGTGACGTTCAAAGAAAGCGTCAATGGTTTCCACTGACAAATGCCAGCCTATCTGTAAAGGCAAACTATATACGAGTCAATGCTGTGTGAAACTTAATCCATCCGCGTGATATACACTTACTGCTTCTCTTTTAGACCCTTTTCTTCTACACTCCTAAAATTCCTTTCTAGGGATAGAAATTGACTAATCATTTTTGAAAACTTTGAAAAGAAAGAAAGATATGTTTTTAATTAATCAGATGATTAATCGTTTTTTAATTTAATCAGATCAATGTTATACAATCACAAGTTACGCAAGTATGATGCAATATCGGCACTGATAAATTATTCCGTAGAAATAATCTTTTGATTTTCCCAAGGAAAAGATATAATTGAACGGTACCAATTATGGAATAAGACCCAATTCTTGAAGGTTTTGAGGGATTACTGTGTGAGGATCTTCATAATACCATACTTCGATAAGTACTATCCAATTTTCATCGCAGAGTTCTTTTTTTAGCTGATCACGTGCAAACTGCTTTTTGAATACCTCTTGATCTTTGTGGAAGAAAGCGTGAAAACGTTCATGTTGTATACCCTGGACTTCGATAGCAAAACCATATTGTGGGTAGTATATATCAAGTTCAAGTCCTAATGGATGATCAGGTGTTTTTAAGAAATCTGGTCTACGAATATCAGAAGGTGAACCTAATAATTTTGTAACTACATTTTTACAAAGTTCTTCTCGTTTCCATGGACAAAAGGGGCACCATGTATCGGAATTTTTTACTTTATCCAGATTTGCATACCAAAGATGATTTTTAGCACATTGCCATAAAAGAGGTGTAATCGAATTAATATATTTTTCAGAAATACAATCACCGCCTTTTTCATTTGCAACTTTTTTAGCTAATTCAAGATTACAAGAATAACGACCCGAACAATATGGGCACCATGTATTAAAATTTCTAACACATTTAAGATTTGTATACCACTGATGACCTTTGTTACATTCCCATAAAAGTTTAGAATCTATATTAATATAATTTTCAGATAAACATTTTCCTTCTTTACGATGAGCAATTTCTTTAGCAATATCAATATTAAGTTTTGCATTACCTAAACAGTGAGGACACCAAGAATTTCGATTTTTTATTGTATCTAAAGATGCATACCAAATATGTTTTTGATGACATTTCCATTGTAATGGGGATTGAATATTAATATACTTATCTGATAAACATTCGCCATTTCTGGATTGAGCTATATTTTTAGCAATCTGAAGAGAAAGTCTAATTCCACCACTACCAGCGCATTTAGGACACCAAGAATTTCGATTTTTTATTCTTTCTAAAGGAGCTTGCCATATATGATTTTTTGCACATTGCCAAGATAATGATGTATAACCATTTTTATATTTTTCAGAAAGACAAATACCACCTTTTTTAAATGCAATTTCTTTAGCAATATCAATATTAAGTTTAAAACATCTTGCACAATGTGGGCACCAAGTTCCTCTTTTTATATCACATAAAGAAGCATTCCATTCATGATATTTGTTACATTTCCAACGTAAAGGAGTTTTATTATTAATATAAATTTCAGAAAGGCATTTTCCATTTTTTTCTAAAGCAATATTGTGAGCATCTGTTAATGTTAATTTATGTCTCATTTTTAGAGGTAATTACATATTATCTATTATTATATTTAAATCTAATTATTAAGTATCCATTTCGGGGGATATTCTATATTGTTATTCACTAATAATAATTGTTCTCTCACAAATGATCTTTCAGGTCCATTATCATTTTCATCCATAAGCCAGTATAATACCAGTTGATTTTTTTGTATTAAGGATTTTTTAATATGATAAACTTTTGGAGACCAATTCATGTCAGTTATGTGTTTATTACCAAATTCTAACTCTCCAGGTTCGAGTAAATATAAAACAGAATCTTATAGGTTAATTGAGGTTCATCAAATCCAATAGGCCTTTGATGTTTAACCGCAGGATCTGCGATAATTTTTTCACCTTTTAAAGCTCTCTTTACAGCTTCATTAGGAGACATATGAATTAATCGGGTAGGAGTATCATTATAAATATTGTCATTATTACAAAGATCTTTAACCCAAGATCGACACCTTTCAGATAAAGGTAAAAGGAAGTCAACTGCATCCTGACGAATATAAACATGTTTCTCAAATTCTTGGTGATCACGTTCAGCTATTGATGTGCTACGTTTAGATTTAGCTTGTATAATTTTTACGTCATGACTAAGTAATAAATCTCTACACTCGCCTAAGTATTTAGTACTTTTATCCACAATTAAAACTTTCGGCCATGTAAGATAATTACTAAAATCCTCATAAATTGCTTTAAACATTTTAACTAATGATACAGAAGACTTATTAGTTAAAGCACAACTTTTATGAAATTTAGTTACTATATCTTTTATAACGCCTCTATGTATGAAAATTCGATTTCCAATTTTATCAAGAGAAAGAGGTGTAAGATCTGACTTATGTACTTCATTTAAATCTCGTATCCCATTAAAAGAAACATATTGAATAAATTTAGGCTTGGGTTTGTAAACTAAAAAAGTGATCTGTTTATTTAGCCAATTTTTTGTATCTGTTAACAAAAAATCATAACCAGCTTCTTTATAAGCATTATACATTTTTTCCACAGTTCGATAGTATCCCTCAGGTCGATAATATATTTTTTGTAAAGCAATTTCCATATCTAGTTCACGACCTCTTCTGGGATTAATATAAATTACGGGTTCTTCCATTACTTTGATTTATTATAAATAACAAAAATTCGTCATGGATGAATTAATACAAACGAACTAGGAACTCCATGAGGAAATCGAGCAATTGACACAATCAAACCGGGAATATGAGTGTCAAACTTATAACCTTGAACGGGATATAGTTTTACGTGAAGAAATAATCTGGTATCTTGAGGAGAAGTTAGCAAATACAATCAAACTTTCCATACTAGAAAGGGAGGAGCTGGAAGAAGAGATTAGAGACCTAAAAAAGATTGTATACAAACTTAAAAAGGAGATCGAACAAAAAGACAAGGAACTTATTACCAGGGAAAATCAACTAGCGGAATTTGATATAAGGAAAAAAAAGTTAAAAACTAGAATTCGGGAAATATCCAAATCAGCTGAAAATACACCTAGAGTATATAACCAAACAGCAAAGTTAATAGATGAGATTAAACGCCTCAAACGTGAGATCGATACCTTAAATTATAATCTTAGAGATCGAGACAAAAAATTAGCCCAGCTAAAAAGTCATATCACCGATTTGCATTGTCAAAATTTTGGTATTAGGTTATTGCATTATCGAGATAAATTAGAACTTATCAATACTCGAGAAACTTTATGTGTTGCAGAGGCATGGAATATAGACAATGAATCAAATTCAGAAGATTCCAATAAAAATTCTTAGGATAGTTATACTCCCAATACAGATATGACAACAATTCCAGATTTATCCAAAGTTATAGATGGTTATTTAGATATATACCTGCTGCCCAAATCCCAAATTATTTTGGCATTATGGCTGCCAAAATATGCC